TGCGCTGCAGTGTGTGGGCGCGTCGCGGAGGTATACGGAGTACGGAGGTCTTGCGGAGCTTCCTCGTAAGCCGCCCTGGTAATAGTAGGTCACACAGCTTGGCCGGCGTTTCGGAGTTGAGTTTGTACGGGTTGCGCGCAATGTGTCGTGATCGCGTGTCTATCGTGGAAAAGCGAACGTCAACCTTTCACCGGCGCTGGCAATGGTCGCGGATTTGTTTGCAAGGTTTCGCTGCTTGCCTGTCGTCGAAAGATGGAGGCACGGACCCAAGTGCTGAGGCAGTGCCTACCCCGATCCTGGACAATCTGCTGCAACCGCGCCCCTGGGGTCTCGATATATCGACGAATGATATCGGATTCCCTTGGCCGTATGTCTCAAATTGCACCACGCTGCACGCACGCGCGAATGCTGCAAACTACCCTACTTGCAGCGACATTACGCGGCGCCACGTTGTGGGGAGAGATTCGGTGGAGACCCTGACGTTGCGCCAAGTCTGCATGCTGATACTCTCAACAACGTTCTTTATTCCTTTTCCCGAGAACTTGTTCTAGAATGTACAAGTCCATCCATCAGTATGTCTGAAATCCGATGCGCAATACGGTTAAGCTCCTATTAGAGCCAAAATACCATTCGGCTGGCCGGACTGCGCCAAGTACCGATACGGCTTGTAAGGCGGGCACACTACAATTTCTCTCAGCCCGGTTCGTGCTGCGGCATGTTGAACTCATCGAACATGATCAGATCTAACCGACAGAACGCTTCTAGAATTTTGCTCATATATCAAAGTGCCGAGCTCATCAAACTGTGCATCTCCTTTGAAGTTGAGAGAGTACAATTTGCGGGTGCATTATTATGCTTCTTCCAACTATTTGATGTTATCTTCAACGGTTGAGACTATTCATTCGGATTGTCGGTAGAGTGAGGCTGTGGCTCGTAAACTCGCACCGAAGGCGCAGCCGATAAGCCCAAAATAGCATTGCGCATTCGTGGCCTGGGAATCGTTGCATATCCGTCCAAGGGCAGTGTAACGTGCTAATCATTGTAATCTCGTATAGTGATCGCAGTTTGAAGACCAGATAGTAAGTGATTCCGGTCAAGTGATCTCACTGTCGCAACCAGCCGTATTTCGAAAAGTGACTTATCTTGCAACCTTTTCCATGGTGATATGAATAAACCTATAGCCAATAGCCAGCAGGTTACGGTGGTGTTTTACCGAGCATGCAGATGGTTGGTGTTCCACTAATGAAATTTTCCAAGCGTCCCGCGGACATCCTCCCCGCCCCGCCCACCATACTTCCAGTCATGGCAAAGTTCATCCTGAAAAGCTGTGCAACCTTGCTCTTGAGCTCATGGTGGTATTGCTTGGATTATAACTGTTGTTTGAAGTCTGCTTTCCATCGAACAACATTACTAGCCCGGCTAGCTCAATCGGTAGAGCGTGAGACTCTTAGTCTTTCACGGTCTAACAGACACGATTACTCAGTACATCTCAAGGTTGTGGGTTCGACCCCCACGTCGGGCTTGTGCGTTCTAGCTTTTTGTTTCGCGTTCATTTGGCCGCTTCAGCTCTTTTTTTTGATGTTGAAGATGTTGGTTTATAGCATTTTCATCACCACAATCTTTTTACCCCACCACCACACCATACGAAGCTGTATCAAGGTACTAGAACAGTCGCAGCTCTGCTTCAAGATGTCGTCACATCTCTTGTATTTTTATCTGGTCTGTCCCGGGCTGAGACGTACAGTCCGTTACTCGCCCGTCGCGCTCCCGCTGCGCCAAGCAGCTTTTGAACACCCAAGCATAGTCGAAGATGCAGACATAGGTGGCTGCTGAAACCCTTGCGGATGAACATCCTCTCGCCATGTATGTACTCCTTCCAAGAAGGGAAAGGCGTCGACTTGCCCTAAGGACGTTTAACAAGAAAGGCGAGTTCAGACGACATCTAACATCCCTTCGCCAGCAAGCTTCAAGCATGGAAAGCGGGAAGGGAAGCACATTTATCGCCAGCCGATTTCGCAACATGGCATATATTGCTGATGTGAACGTGGATGTCACGCTCATCCATTGCCCTGCCCGGACTTTCTCGCGCAACCCATCTTCAATTGTCGCGGCCTTTACCCGATCTTGTGGCAGGCCACCCGCCTAAAGTATCTGAGTAGCTCTGGCATTCTTGGAAGAGCGCAAAGAAACTGTTGTGCGAAGAAATGGCCTTTCTAAACGCTGTGCGCAAAATCAAGACCTATGCTGTAGGTATTTGCTGCATTGAGACGCAAGACTGAACGGAGCCGGGAGGTGTTCGCTGACTTCTGCGCCTTTCGATGTTCTTGCGATCAGTGGTGTATATATCCACGGTGACTCTTGGTCATTTGTACAACCAATAAAAAGTCCATGTATGCTGCAAATGTATGATGTCTAGATACCTTACAGTGCCAATCAAAGACCCTATATAACTGTGATGCTTCTTATCTCTAAGTTCGAGATGAAGGTCCGCATTACCTCTTCAATATGAAAGACACCCACCATAAAACCGATGCGGCGGTATGTTGAGGGTCTATCCTCTACTGGTACTAGGACGATGCCACGAAAGTAATTATTAGTCCCCTGGACCGACGTTGTGTACATAGGCATGCAGAATGCTTGCTCCATGATATCGTCCATGGCGTCGTAGAACACCAGAAGACTCACCTCAATACCTTGGGATCTGTCGGGCACTGAGTCCGGGTCGTAGTGTTGGAAGTACGCTAGGCGGCGAACGTTGGGCTCGTCATCTCCATATCTTGCTGTATTGGTTTGTATGGCCATCCAAGGGCCTCTTAACTTGAGCTGTCCGCCAGTGACTTCGCCCGTATCCAAATCATTGATACAAAGCGTTACCGCCGTACAATCTGCATCGGCGACGTGCCATGTGAATTCACCTCCTTCTGGCGATCCATCCCAGTGTATCGATCCATCGAGTGACATTGGAGACCAAGAGGGAGCTCGGTAAACTTCTGGTCTTCTACCCAACCCTTTCAACAACCAGCACAGGCCAAAGCGAAGGTCTTCCGCCCACAAGCCAGCGACATATTTATGATGTGTATGAGGTCGGCGAATGTTCAACGCTGACCTCATATCGTCGGCCAAGCCAGATATAGCCACGAGCTTGTCGGATGCATGAGTGAGTTGGCAGTTATTATAGATGGATAGCGTAGCATACCACTCGAGGAATAGGTTCTTATAAGGATTTTCCGGGTCAGAAGAGGTTTCCTCGCCGATTAGAAATTTCCACAGTCTTTTCCTAGGAACACCACGATCCCGGTGACCGTAATACATAGACCATGGCATTGTCTCAGACGCGTGTTGTTCTTGACACTCCCAGAAGACTTGCTGCGACCCGAAGTGCAATACACGAGATGGCAAAAGACGTTCTTGAAGACACCAGCCACGCTTCGTCGTGATGTTACCAAGTCCGAAAGACGCTATCGCCGCTCCATCCTCACTTGTATGAAAAAAAGGCTCAGGCTTATCGCATGATGCGTATGCGATATTGACGAGGGTGGGCTGGACTTTAGCGGGGTCTCGTGAATAGAATAGACCTGAGTCATCGTGATCCCCCGCGACGGCCGAGATAGTAAGGTATGAGTTGCGGTAAACAGCTTGCATCGCAGCAGCTTCAGAACGCCAATCCTTTGGAGAATCCTGTATTATACAGAGCGCATCAATCCAAATGTATCGAATGCCTAGTCGTGCGGTGACGTGGATGGCATCGACATACGTCTTTGGAAGGGACCCGAGAGGCAGTCCATTGCGCATAGTATCGAATGTGGACTGCAAAAGACAAAGTTTTCCTGGTTTCCCTGCAGTACCCCAACGATAAGACAATGCAGTGTATTTTGAGTTGGAGTGTATCTCTTCTCGCAAGACCAGCCTACATCTGGTAGGGTTACCGCCATCTTCGAACTCAAGTATTCTCGTAGGCAGAAAGGCAGAGTCACCAGTCTGTGCGCATCGTGAATGTTTGGCGAGGCAATTTTTGTCCCATTCGTCGATCAGCTTCCGAGAGCGCTGGCCATCTGTGTTGTCGTCCAGCTCAAGGATCAAATCTGCTTGCTCCTGCATGCCTTCGAGGGGCAGCAGGAGTGACAATCCAGATTGCAATCCCCTCCACATAAGATTTATGAATATCTGTTCTTTAGAGGCAGATACACTGAAACTCGTGAGGAAGTCATCGTCGGTACGTGTAAGTTTATGCTCATAGGTTTTAAACTTAACGCAGATAAGGCAACGGTGTTCGATTGATTGTACCAGAGATTCACGTGTACGGTGATGCCCAAACACGTGTTTTTCGATGTCTAACAGCGTGCGACGAGATCTGTGTTCCCCTCGTTCTGTGGCTCGAAGGCGCGGTGTAAGAGTGGGGTCGTGCATCCCCTCCAAACATCGCTTGCAAACATCGCAAAGCATCCTGGAAACGGTTGTCGCGAGCGCGGGTTGAGTCCTGAAAGGGGGTATCGATGTAGGGCGTTCGAGGGACTTTCGTTGTGCTCCAGGCTCGCCGTGAAGTGGGTGCGAGCTTAAGAATCATGGGCACAACTTCGCCGGGAACGTAGATGCACGGCATAGTTAATGCGTTACAGGGTGATGGTGACGTGGCGGTACATGTAGGTGTGCGGCACAGTAAAGGTTCAAGAGAAGTGCGCAATAGTTTGGGGCACATGTGCGGGGTCGTAGATGCCTGCACCCTCAGCCCCTCCCATGCGACTTCCTTGTACGACCTGACCAGTCGTTTTAGCACGGATCTAGTACTGTTTTCTATCCGAATAGTACAGTTGCCCTAGGCCGAGATGTTTCCTCGTAGATACAGTCTGGGATCATATAATTTTTAGGTGCGCGAAACCTTTCCTCAATTATCACCATCATAAAAACGCATAGTCATCAAGCACGTAACAGTGTTAATTTGCAGATCAAACGTTTATTATCATGATATATACACATCATCAAAGATGAAAAGAGACCAACCCCTACTTGTTAAGCCTCTTAGCCCTCTCCGGGTCTCTCCACCAAGCACATTGCTCCATCCTAATAGCAGTACCCTCATCCTCCATCATCGAGCCACCCTCTGTTGGAGGGTTGATCACCAGCTGCCTACCGCCGGTACCCTCATACTGCTCCCACTTGGGACTGTATCCCAAGGCGTATGTGTTTGGGTCTCCACTGACAACGAAGCTGGCCCAGTAGGCACTGTACATGTCTGCAATCTCAGGGTACTGTGTGTTTGCCTGTCCGTTGAAATACGAGGAGTCACTTGCGTGCGGTACACCCAGGTATGTCGGCGCCCAATTTGGTGTGTTGAAGCGCGCTTTGTACACGGGAGCGGAGGTAGAGGCCATGACGGAGGCGGTGTCTTGAACTGGGCAGATGTAGGAGTAGTCGCCGTAAGCTGCGGATACGCGGGCAAATTGGTCTGAGACGTAACCTAGTGTGCCCTGCTGGGGCTTGACATCTGGGTACAAGGTCTCGAGATCGGCGAGATCTTCCGGTGTGAGGCCGGGTGTGAGGGTCTTCCAGAAGTTGAGGAACTCGGCGTTGGTACGGAGGTCTTGGGGCGCGAAGCCTGTGCCTTCGTCGGTCACGGATGAGATGAGCATCGGGATGTTGAAGAAAGTGCCGTCTTCGCCGGAAGTTGAACCGCGCTTCTCAAGGAGGGGACCGGGAGAGACGGGTTGCCATGGCCATGTGATGTTGTAGTTGTGAGCGTTATATAGCGAGGAAGACATGAACTGGATGTCATCGGCCTCTGCGGCGCGGAGACAGTCAAGAGCGGCTGAGCTGGGCGACTCTGGGCAGTTTAGGTAGTCCATGATGTCTGCGACTTGCTTTTGGTAGAGAGGGTAGTCGACACCTGGGAAGGCGCGAGCGGTTGGTGAACCTGAAGACAAGATGGCCTTGCTGAACAAAGGCTTTCCGGCATCCTCTGCGTAGTTGTGGAAAAGGTGGATACCGACCGAGTGGCCGCCAGCACTTTGACCGGCGAGCGTGATTTGGTCTTTGTCGCCTCCAAAGTCGCCGATGTACTTTTGCAAGAACTCCAATGACATCTTCTGATCGCGGATACCGAGGTTGAGAAGACCCTCATCTTGCATGAACTTGGCTGGCAAGCTGCCGAGCGCACCCAGTCGGTACTGAACGGTGACAACCATAACAGGCTCGGGGCTTTGCTCAACGAATAGCGGACCGTCGAAGCTGCGGTGAGAACCCGAGACGAACGAGCCACCGTGCAAAAAGACCATGGACGGGAGCTTCTGGTCCATAGGGATACCCGAGGGTCGGTATACGTTGATGGTAAGGCAAGCTTCCGACTGCCCGAGGGAGCCGTACATGTTCTGGAAGCAAGCCGGTCCAATTGATGTCGCATCCTTTGTACCATCGAATGGTTCGGGCCATGTTACTGGCATAAACCTTCCGTGACCAACAGGCTGCGTAGAGTACTCAACATTCATCCACGCATCCACTGGCCGACTCAAAGTCTCCGTCTTCTTCAGGTTCATAAGAAGCTGTGTGCCCTGGAAAGATCCATACTCCGGCAGGGTGACGAGAAGAGAACCGTCTGGTGTCTCATAACTCGGAGGATCCGGGCGTTGGGGTGTACCAGGCTGGTATGGCCTGGCCTGGCTGAAAGCGCCAAAGTACCAGAATAGCAAAGCAGTGCTACCGGAGAAAATCATGATGATGGCTAGCCTTCGCTTCCACCATCGTGGGGAGAAATGGGTTGCTTTCATAGTATTTTCCTGCTCCCGTACTTCTGCCGATGGCGGTGCAGGGAGTCGGTCCGCCATGGGTGCCGACTGGCGCTATCGGCAACGGATAGCGGAGAGACTGCGGGGATGCAGGCGATGTGACTATTGCTACGGATAATCTCGCATGCGCTTATTCGCGTTGGCGCTAGCTTGCGGTCGTGATGGGTACAACGTTGGTGTTGAAGGGTGAGAACGGCACGTGGCTGGCGAATAATGACGTTGCCGAGCCACGATAGGGCACTACCGAGTCAAGATATCGGTTGTGCAAGGGTGTCCGGAGCCATGTTGTGAACTTGCATCTTCACTTGCCTCCGAAGCTTACCCCCATAAAGATTACTTTCCCTCTCCAAGGCGCTTGAGTAAAGGTCCGTGGAGGCAATTTTCTCTCGTCGCCCGCTCACCGGACGCAGCTGGGCATCCATGATGATTACGTGCCTGTATTAGTACGGCACGGCTGCAGAACAGAGCTGCAGAACAGAACTGCATCGCGCAGGAAGATCGCACATAGACCCTATCCTCCCAGTCTGCTTTTGGGATGATCAGCTCATTTCTATTGGGAAAAAGCTTTTTGAGTTCACAGCGAAGCAATAGATTGTGGCGTCCGGAGGAGGAGAAAGCATCTGCACCCCGCAAGCTAACGCAGACTAATCACAGTGTTGGCGGCCTCGCGCGGCAAATGTTCTGGGTCCGAAAAGTAACTGGCGCCAAGGCTGCGCTTTGCATTGATATCTTCCTTGTTGAATCCAGAACAAAAGTTGGAGTACTTCTAGCGTCCCCCACCTCCAGTGTCAATGCACACAACCACACAATCTCCCATCTCTGCCTACTTTCCCTGCTCTGCGGCCTCCTTTTCCACGGCATCCGCCATGTCGGCCAACGTGTCGAACTTCCAGTTATATACAGGATCATCGCGGTTTCCCATGACCGCACCCGGCCTGTAAATCCATGAACTCTTGATTCCCATGTCCTTTGCTGGGTGGTGGTCGTGATATTGAGATTGCGCCGTTTGCAGCACCTCGTGCTTCTCGACTCCGAATTGCTCCTTCACTTTGGCCAGCATGTATTCGAAATTCCTTAGGTCGGGCTTGTAAGATCCGATGTCTTGGGCGGTGTAGACGGCGTCGAACTTGTATCCCTTGAGCCCGTTCGCATTTCCGATCTTGAATGAATCATGGTCGACGTTGGAAAGAACGACAAGCTTGAAGTACTTGGACAACCTCTCCAAAGCAGATGGTATATCAGCGAATCCAGGCCAGTGTCCGATACTCGCTCCAAATGCTTTGTTCTCTTGTTCACTGGGCTTCTCCAGACCAAGTTTCTCACACAACTCAGGAAGCACCATGGCGAGTACCTCTGAGTACTTGAGATGGCCGTGTTCGCTCTCAACTCTGGCCTCGATCTTGTGCATGACTTGCATAATGTGCTTGCGATCCATGTTCTCTTGACCAGACTTCTTAAGATGGGGCTGGAGGGCGGTCAAAGCGCCCGCCTCCCAGTCTATCAGGGTGCCATACACATCGAAAGAGAGGAGCTTGAAGTCGGTAAGCTTGGACATGATGGTGTTTGGTGTGTTGTGGAAAGATAAAATTGTGTTTGGGTTTGAGACACTTGAGACAACTGAGATTTGTAATGATGGTTTTGGAAGCGATGTTGGCGATTATATACCGCATCATGACTGTACAGTTGAAGTTGCCCAGAGCCTCTTGGAACCCCACTTGGTACTATGACGTTAGCGGGGCACCACAACACGCCCTTCAAACTACATGCTGGGGTTGCGACGATCAAGACTGTGATAGCAGCTTATAGGTCTTGATCTAGACGCTGCATACGCTTTGTAGTGGGATATGACCTTGCTTTGGGGTTGAATTTCGGGTTATGTAACGCGTCATACACATAGCTGGCGCGTGAGTCGCGTTTAGTTCGTCTCCCTTCCATGGAACTTGAGTATGCGGCATCGTTCATTAGACGCAAGTGTGATAAACTGTGGAGCGTATCTAACAAGCACCTGAGTCATAATCGGACATTATCCATCCAGAATCGGACCGCTATTTACCCTCGGTCTACGCAGTGTTGACAACTTCAGTTTTCATCTCGTATGGCAAGCTATCAATCTTCGACTCCAGGACTTCCTTGGTTAGCCTCCACAAGTTTCTCTGCAACTTCTCATCCCTGGCCTGCTTGGACGCTTCTTGGACCTTCTTATCAGGAACGATGTAGGAGTTCTGTTGGCAATTAGCTTGAGTTTCTGATGAAGAGGACTTCCAGAGTCGACTTACTTGAATCTGCTCCTTCGGAACATCGGGCGACGCTGCGGCAAACAAGGCTGGGCGACACCCCTCCGCTACTGGGTCTTTCATGAACGGTCGCACGGCTTTGACCCCAATCTTTCCAGCAGTGCCATAGGCCTCGATTGCTTGATCTTGCTGATCCGTTATCACGCCACCAGGGTGCGTCGCGTTGATCCACGGTAAGCCCGTGCTCTCTGTGACTTGACCGAACTCTCCAGCCTTGATACGGAGGTACAGCTCGCGAAGAAAGAGGATCTGCGCTAGCTTGGTGCGGTTATAGAGCTTCATTGCACCGATGTCTTGGTTGATCTCTTGGATGGACTCAAACTTCATGCTCGAGTCGGCTCCCCTGTGTAGGTCGGAAGATTGGTGTACAATGCGCGAGTCGGGTGTCTTCTGCAGTATAGGCAATAGCATGAGCGTGAGGTGGGCCTGCGAGAAGATGTTGACCTGCATGTGGCTATCCAGACCATCCCGAGTCTCGTTGTATACGCCAACGCCCAAACCCGCATTGCAGACCAAAGCATCAAGCCTGTCCAGCTCTTTTGCCAGCGACTTGGCTACTTCGTCGACTTGTTTGAAGTCTTCGAGATTGCACTTGCGCCATTCCACTTTGCTTATGTCACCCCATTCCTTGAGCGCTTCTTGAGCTTCGTCGGCGTGTTGCTCTTTGTTCGAAAGGAGGTAGATTTTCGCGGGGTTGTGCTGGAGGAGGTGCGCGACGATACCGTATCCGATTCCAGCGGAGCCGCCTGTTACGACATAGATCTGAAAGATGCATTAGAAACCTGCACATGTAGAGGGAGGGATAAGCTTACCTTTCCGCTGAGGTCGGGGATGTCTGTGTTGGGATCGAAGGCGCTGCCGATGGCTTTCTTGATGGTGTCCATGATGCTTCAGGTTCAGCTGGTTGCTCAATACCTTACTTGTTCTTCTTATTTGTATGGTAGACGGTTGTTCCAATCCAGGCGAGACCTAAGGATATATCACGTTGCCCCAGAACGCGTCGCGCATCGTGTCGTCATAATGAAATGGGGTAGGCTGCACCTCTCAGCCAGTAGCTACGGCGTGTGCATGTCGCGTCAGTAGACTCAAATATGAAATCAGTCGGTCGAGCCAAGAGTGATCAATGACCGCTCTTCACATGTGGCTGCGTGGACATGGAGGGCGAAGAAGTGTTGGTAAGAGACATCAGCCCTGGAGGGTTGAGACGCGCTCCGCGGTCGATACGGATCCTAGTGGCACTGACATAAAGTGCCACAAGGTCTTTCTCACATATTACACCAACATCAAGATAGCTGCTGCTCTGAACAGGATCAATGCGATATGCATTTATATTCGCCGAAATAGTTGAGGACGTAGTGGTGATGTTAATACTGAGAGAAGACTTTGTGTGAGGAGGCGGAGATGGCAGGCGCGTTGTGAGCCTGATGGCTGGCAGCCCCGCACAGCTACCCGCATCATCGCGCGTTTCTCCTCTTCCTTCGCTATACCCTCCAACCAGACTTGTCAATGCACCATCCTTCGCATACCGTCTATATGATGCGTATACACTCTCCAAGGAACTTTATCCAGTCTTTGTGGCAAATCCACCACAAGGCTGAAGCAGAAGAAGAGCACCTCGGATCCACCACTACATCTTTTCTTTCGCAACTGATTGCGCAAGACCATATTCGACGCTGAACTACGGCTTTGACCAGTCATCTTTCATGGCTTTTCTCAAGCTTAGTTGGAGCAGTATGTTGAATTGAAGCCAGCTAATTGCTAACACTACACAGTATCTTTGGCCCTAGCTCAAGCTTATTCGCAGCTTCCCAGCTATCCCAAGGGCCTTCTCGCCGCCGAGATTGGCGTAAAAGAGTGATGATGCGCTGAACCAAGATAGGGTCCTCGCAGAATGTCGCTGTAAAAAACAGCGAAGGAATCGTGTCGCTATCCAGCGTGAACATTGGCCGTCCCAACCACGATGCCTCCATACTATACAAATGCCCCGCCATGTCCAGGAGCTCATAGTTGAGCCTCGATAACTCTTCGTCGTTGTCTTCAGTCTCTGGAAGTAAAATTATTTCCAGTGCGCATCTGCGAAGCATGAGGACAAGTAGTTCGCGCTGAACTTCCTTCGGTAAACTCCGTGAGTCGGCCAAAGCTGAGACGAGGAGGTCGAACTTCTTCTTCCAACGCTCGAAAGATGCGGTGAGCTCTATCGTTTCGTTATCTAGACCACGATCTATCGTAGTCTCTTCATCTCCATCACAACCAGGATCGGTATTGAACAGCCTGATTTCTAGGTCCCATAAGGCCTCTTTGCATTCTGGGACGCTTGAAAATGGTGTACGCTCTTCGTCAATTTCGATCAATGGCGTGGCGTATGGTGTCATGTCGGAGATGACGTCTTCGTCGTCGACGAGCATGGCTGCGTCCACACCGAAGCGAAGTAACACGGTCCCGATCTCCTGCATCAGCTGTTTTGAGTCGTTTGAAGCGGCCGACAGGTTGCATGTTTCCAACAGACGTGCGCCGGCCCGCATGTGACGAATGCCCTCGTCAAAGCGACCGAGCAAGTTCTCCAAGCACACAAAGAGTAAACAGCAGGTCAGAATCGTGACCTCAGCATTAACGGTTGTTGACGTCTGAGAATCCTTGATGCTCACTAAGTCTCCAATGGCTTTGTTATAATGCTGTGTGGCGATGACTTCCAGACGGGCCATCGACTCGTTTGTATCATCCAGAAGAGGCGCTGAAAGCTTTTGGAGGTAGAGCTGATGGGCTGCACCGAGCGCAACCACTGCATGTCGTACCGCAGGCTCGTTATGGCTCATTGGAAGCACTCTTCGGGACCAGAAGTCTTTCGGAGTGGCGAGACGGACGAAATCGACGATGGTGATGGAGCAGAAATGGTAGAAGAAGAGCCGTTCGCGCGCGCTACCGAAAAGGCCAAAGCCAGATCCGACGTCTGGGGATATGCTACGCGTCTGACGACGAGCGACGGTACACTTGCTTGCTGCAGAGGCTTGGATGGCTTTCTCTCCAGTAGGTGATTGCTTCTTTTGAGGTGGCAGTGGCGCATACCCATCACACTTCACTTGGCCCTCTCTACATCGACGGCAGGTTGGTTTCTCTTCGTCACATTTCTTTCGGCGTATTCTGTAGATCAACACGCGGCATGTCAGTATGTTGAGCCTGATATGTTGGGCGATCGTGGATACCACGCTGTTTCCAAACACAGTTGCGGAACACAAAATCCTGGTATGAAGAAAGAGGTGGTGCACTGGGGAGATAACGCCCAAACACACTTACTTGCTGCGAAAGCACATTAGCAAAAGCTCCGTTGTGTCGACCACCCAAATTGTCGCGCGCAGAAAGGTCATCTTCGGTGTATAACACGGTGTTTCTTAAGGATCGCAGGTACAGAGGCGATAGAGTGGGAAGAGGGAACGAAAGAAGATGAGGCAGCTGCACTTCACCACGATTCTGGAGAACGTACCATGTATTACATCCTGTGCGAACTTTGGGAGAGAAGGTGCGCACTCGAGGGCCCTTTGTCAATACCGGCAGATCCATGATCATGTTATTGGCTGTGGCGTATGTCGGGTACTTCACCTTATAAATACGAGTTCACCCACAAACTCAAAATGGTTGAGGCGGTGCTATTTTTCAAAGAAGCCACAGTCGAAGTAAGGGCTGAGGACGCGCAATTGTTAGGAAGAAGAACAAGGAGATGGGAGTCCCGATCATGCGTTCTAGTTCATCTTATCGGCCCGACACGACGACCGTGATTGGCTCCAGCGTATAATCCGCCGGTCGGAAACGCCAATTTGACTGTCATCACCTCCGTCTCCACTGCGACAACACCTGGGCATCCACAACATCCACTGATCTCGTTAACAAGCTACTGGAGTCGACTCATTTCGGGTAACGTTGTGCAAGCTATACGCCGGCTGTATGATGCCTATCTACAGAGAACACAGCCTCCCGAGGTCTTGTCGACGGAACGCCCTTTTCGGAAACGTCATGGCAACAAGATTGGCATCGGCTGGTGACGTCCTCGCTATCGGGAAGCTGTATATAGAGGCAACGTTTAACTGAGTGGAAGATCATCTCGTTCTATATCTAAGATTCGCTCCAGAACGGCCATCCTATAAACACCCGGTGAAGCGTCGGGAACAGTTTACATCCATCGTTCCGAGCAAGCTTCAAGATGCGTTCTCAAGCGCTTCTTGCTCTCTCAGGCCTCTGTAAGTATCAGACCAAGCTTACCCATTACTCAATCGTTTTTCAGATGGACAAAAGCTAATTCAAATCAGGCCTTGCGTGTCCCGCCTTTGCCGGAGTCGTCTCGCGTGGATCAGACGCATCAATCGATCTAACACCAACCAATGCATCTACAACCAGCAAGGTCAAGGCCGATATCCGAGCTGATACCAATCGAGACGGCACGGTCGACATCACAGACGTGGAAGACTGCGAGGACTGCGACGGCAAGACCGAGTGGACTGCCGACTATGGCGCCATCTTTCTCCCCAACATTGGAGACACGAACAAGCGTTGCTCTAACGCCCTCCTCAATGGTCCTTCGGTCAGCAACGAGCGAATTGATGCTTGCAACGATGCTTCTGACAATGTCATGCGCTCCGAGCAATATCTCGCTCCGCTCCGCACAGTTCCACTGCCTGAGCTTCCCGATGACGCTCATGGTCGCATCTACATCAAAGATCCCGTGCAGCGCAAGTATGTCCGCATCTTCCACAAGGCGAGCGAAAACAGCACCTGGAGCTATGTCGACGGCAATTCCACTTTCAGCGCAGCCGCTCTGCGTGAGGGTCTTGTCCTCGGTGTTGACGGACGCGACACCCGTCGACCCAATGGCTGGGACGGCCGCGTTACTATTAGCTTCGATGTCGAGAGCTCGATAGGTGCCTCTTCTGATGATGTCATGCTTCGCGCTGCACCTGTCCTCACCCATACTCATCTCGACCCTGTGCAGCAGGTCATTGCTGTCAAAGGTAATGAGACCGGCAATCCATGGATCCTTCGCTTCACCGAAGCCCTTCAAACAGCCGTCAACGAGTCTGGCCTCGAAGAGGAACTTTACCTCTTCTCCGGAAGCGATGATATCTGGGCGCAGGACTTCATGGAGCCTGGCTTCGCTTCGATGCCCGGTCCCGACGGACCCATCACCCTGCGTATCATGATCCGTTCTCCCCAGGACGAGCGTGTTGCCGGCAGACAGCTCTTCGAATACTACCGCGACACTGGTATCGGCGCTGTTCAGCAGCTCGGTGGTGCCCGCGATGAGATTAACTCCGGTGGTAATATCGAGACTATTCCTCCCTACGAGTTTAATGGCACTGCTTGGCCTGCCGGTCGTCTGATTCTTGGCAACCATGGCGAGCAGAAACACTTCATGCTTCCCTTCTTCCAAGCTCAAGAGACACAAGATCCCCTTCTTCTCGATACAGACTGGCTGGTCATCGGCCACGTTGACGAATTTATCCAGTTCATCCCTGTCGATTCACCTCGTGGTTGGGCCGTTATGGTCACCGATCCCATGATGGGCGTCGAAATGCTCCAGCAGCTAAAGGACAGCGGACACGGCTCAGAGCACGCCTTTTCGCGCAAGAACGATAGCCAATCATTCGACAACTGCACTTCCGATTTCGCCTGTGCTGCTATTCCCGTTCCGCCAATCACTATCAATGAGTTGCTTGCCAATGAGAACCTCATGTCTGTGCAGAAGCGCTGCGCCGAGCGTATCGAGGGTAATCTACAGATCCTCAAGGAAGCAACAGGAGTTACTGACGACGAGATTATTCGCCTCCCTGAGATGTTCAACGGAAATCCTTTCGGCGACCTTTCCGCAATCCTTTCCGGTAATGCGACAAGTGGCTCGACATTTGGCGGAAACTCTTCCGATAACGCGACAAATGAGCTGAAGGTCGGTGCGCTCTTCCCCGGTGTTATCAACGGCATTGTCTTGACCGACTTTGACACATACATTGCCCCCAACCCCTGGGGCCCCGTTGTGGACGGAACGGATGTTCTTGCCGAGAAGCTCAAGTCGCTGTACGCCAGTGTGGGTATGGATGTCATCTACATCGACGACTGGAACACACATCACAACTTCGGCGGCGAGGTTCACTGCGGTACCAATACTGTACGCGATATGGATAACGAGTGGTACTCGTCATGGGCGTCGGATGATTGTGATGATGAAGGTGGAGATGACGATGACGATGACGATGACGATGACGAGGAAGGCGATGGCGAGAATTACTAGGCTTAACTATGTCGTGCAGATACCGGCCATGACCTATGTTGCATTCATCTGCTCGTAACCAAATCAGCAACTCCTTTCACCATCTTTGTCTACGTTTCTACTTAAAAACTATCTCGAAGGCTGCAACGACATCTCGTCTACCCAGAGAGATCCATTCGCACATGCACGTGTATCTAGGTAGCATTCGTCTTTGGGGTACTCGGATCAAAAACGCCGGTTGAGGAAGTAAATCCACACGGTGTGAGATATAGTGACTCTCGGTAGCTACAACGTTTCATTTCGTTCGTGTATCAAATTTCCGACAGGGAATAAAAAAGCTTCTGCTCTTTCGCACTGGTCGACCTTTCATTGCTACCAACGCAAAAAGCCCGGACCTGTGTGGCCTTTACGCGCCAGCTACTTAAATATGTACCCAGGGAGCTCCACTCTGGAAACGATTTAACTCTCGCAAATACCTCCACCAGGGTTAGATTCTACCCTGATGAACTCGAAGCTCTTGGCGCTCGGTGCTTTCTTTCTCGCCTTTGCCACCGCTAACGTCTTCGACTCGTCTTACTCCAATGTCTCCAGCGCTGCTATCGACGAAGACAGGATCGAAACCGCCGTATTAGTTGACACCGAGACGACAGAACCCGCCGATGACGTTCTATGGAATGCTGCCTTAACCAAAGGCCGGATGTTGATACTAGCCACGAGCTTGAACCTTCCAGAGGCTATTAAACTCTATTTACCAATGGAAACTCCCTGGGATGGAACCCTCAAACGCGAACTAGCACTTTGGGGCTACTCGGAACCTGACTACCCGGAAGTTGAAGACTCTGACGAAAACTGTGTCATGGGGCAAGAAAACCACGGCCTCCAAGATATGCTCAAAGAGCTACATGCAGATGATAGAGATTCACGTGATGGAGGGGACAACATCTGTCACACAATCCAACATCAAGACGGGCCTACCTTGGAGAAAGATGAGAACGGTGAAGTCCCAGAAGATCCTAGGGAACAATACTACAAAGTTGAGGGGCGCAGATACAGGGTACGTGAGCACGTAGAATATGATATGGCTAAAACTTGACGCAATGCAGCTGACATTGCTCTAGGTTACCGGCGCGGATTCCACCATTGGAATAAATCCAAAGGCTGGTATTATCTTCTTCCTGACCCTTGAGAGCCCCACGTACGCGGCGAGAACGCTATGGAACGTACCCTCCGTCAAGCCGGACGAGATGCCTAAACTCCAAAGAACCTCGGATCTTACCTGGGGTCTCTGGAATAGGCATAGCAAAGAAAGCCTGTCCAACATCAACTACTTCTTCACGGTGGCAGTTGTGAACCCGGAAACGCGCAAGATCATCAGTAGAGCCATGGGACAGAATGCTGTACCGAAGGCGCCAGGATACACCTTTAGAGCTGATAATGAGAACTTCATTGCTCTGCTGGGTATGTATACGATTGCAGCTTTCTTCGATATGTTCACCAGAAGCTCTCAAGTTCTCAACAGTCACTGGATATGCACTAACTACCAGTCTCTAGGATCGCCGAACCTTGTAATGGTGATGTTTTTCCTCCTCCAACACAAGACTCAGTTTGGCCACAATCGATGGGTCACTGAGATCCGTGTTTTCATACCGAATGGGGATTTGAATACGGTTTCGATGCTTGTAAAGGTTGAGCGAGCGCCCCCGACAGAACCTCCCGAGCCTATTGAAGATCCAGATTGCGCGGAGAAAAGGTCGTTGAAAAGTGCGGCAGTCTCACCGCTGGATATCAATAGTTGGAAGGGTGGCGAACGTGCAAATTCGACCTTCGAGGAGGTGAATCTGGTTAGAAGACATATCATATGGGCTTAGACTCGGTCACAAACGATGGATATAGGCTTTGCATGGTGAGTTCAGATTAGATGCTTTGGCTACTCCACTGAAGGAGCATCTCATACAGGAAAAGAACTAAACACCTATGTCCTGGAAGTCCACACTACCTCATGATTTTGTCTATTTATCTTGTACACTAATGTAGTCGGCAGAACACGTTTCCACATCTCAATTCTTGTACTTTCACAACATAGCCATTGCGCATTGTTGGCACACGAGCTCCTACTCTGGACAGTTAAGTGATTATCCACTTCCTGTTCACCCATCACACCACTTTCTCGATCGCGCGTCGCCAGACCAGGATGCCTACAGAATACGGCGACGAAACCGTCGCTGAGCTCGAATGGCTCCCGCCGAAACAAGAATATATTGCCAACCTACGCTCAGTCGCACCTCCAGCGGACGAGCCAACGTGTGCTATATGTCGTGGTGAGTGGGAGTATCCGGCCCAGGAAGTCGTTGAGCCAAGCCCTCACTGCTCTCGACATCCTCTTCACAAAGACTGTCTTCTCATAACCTTTGCAACGGAAGACGGAGAGGAGGTCAGCAATCTGTGTCCATTTTGCCGTCGTGAGCTCTTCGAGAAGATCCCACAGCCGCCTACGAAGCCCCCGAATAACCCGGCCAGTGTCTACCAGCAAACTACGCAACTCTATGACAGCATTGTGGCACTTCATATCCATATTGAATACAACGACGACAAGACCGAAGATCCACAGCTGCTGTATCCTTCTGGCCCGACTATCGAGGACGCCTTGCAGAAAGACGGTTTCTGGTCTGCTCTTCCGCGTTTCTTGGACGAATGGTACTACCGCAATGCATCTCAGATTATCGAGCAGTCAAAAAGCTATAAGAAACCACTGTCGATCGTAGATGCGGGTCGCGCAGTGTTTACTGAGCTTTTTGGTTATGCCGAACCACCGTCTCGCAAGATTACAGGTCTCACAGACGAAGGTCGCGCAGCTATCACTGCGCTCTTTGCGCACGAACCTGACAACTCAGAGCTGTGTATAAAGGCTACAGAGCTACTAGATCACCAACAAGGCGAAATTGTCATGCAATGTATCCGCGCCGCCCTCATGTACTACGACCAGTCTGCCTTCCCCCAACACGTCGAGGATTTGCAGGGCAAAACTCGTTGGCTCATTGCCTACCATGTCCTGACTTCTCTATTAACAGCACGCAGACGCCCCGATGAGGACGTGTGGTATCGAGGAACAAACATCCCCCGCTGGCTCCAGCTGGTCCGTTTCCGTAAGATGCTTTACCGAGGAATCAACCATTGGGCCTCACCGACCTTCTTCGCCAGCCAACGCCCACTCGAGATAAATTTCCCTTACGGTCACCTTATGGGTGTTACCGAGGGATTCGGTGAACATGACTTATTGGAAATACAGTATTTCCGGCCCACCGATGCAGAGCCGTATCAAACTCGTATTGGACCTATCGATCGTGGTCATAAGATGATCATAAAGGAGGACACCTCGGTATGTCCTTTAGATCCCAATCTCCCGAGTGGCACTATCTTTCAATTTCTGAAGGACGGAACCTTGACAGCTCGGGAACTCTGTCCTGCCTTCCTCCATGATATTTCCTGCAACCGTGAGGAAGGTTTTTTCGATCTCGTTCATGAGAATGGGAGTATGCTGAGGATCATACGTAGGTTCATGCCGTAGGGGCACTATGGGTGGCTAGGACTCGGATTGCACGTTGCTACATACATACTATTAATTGTTAACAACTAGATAGCTTCCGAGGCAATGTATACTTGCCTGGGTACTATCTTTAGCAACGTTTTGCACTATGGGCTTACTAGTTCCCATGCGTATCCGCGATCTCCTTCTGGCCCTTCCTCACCCACGCTTTAAACGGATCCTGCACATCAGGATTCCTCCTCAACTTCTCAATTTGATCTTCGCCCGACGGCACCAAAAGCCCTCTCTTGACCGCATCTCTCTCCTCAATCTCCTCGCACCACTTCTTTAGCTTCGGAAACTTGGTCATCTCAATTCCCGCCCATGGTGCCCACCGAACCCATGTAAAGGTCGTGATATCCGCAATACTGTACTTGCCGCGGCCTTTGCCTGCAAGATAGTCTCTATCCTGGAGTCGCGCTTCTAGTACCGAGTAGAGGCGCTTTGTCTCATTCTTGTATCTCTTTGTGCCATAGTCAATCTTCTCGGGCGCGTAGCGCACAAAATGGTTCGCTTGTCCTTGCATTGGGCCCACGCCGGCGTTCTGGAAGAAGAGCCACTGTATCATATCCATCCGCTCGTCGCTATCCTGGAAGCTGAAGTTGAAGTCTTTGTCATAGTGTTCGGCGAGATACAGGAAGATGGCTCCAGATTCAAAGACGGGGTATGAGTCGCGGCTGTGGTCTACAATCGCGGGTATGCGACCGTTGGGGTTGACTTTGAGAAATGAGGCGGACTTCTGCTCATCTTTGGATAGATCGATGGCGGTGGTCTTGTAGGGGATGCCGAGTTCTTCGAGGAAAATTGAGATCTTTTGGCCGTTGGGTGTGGCCGCTGTGAGGAGCTCGATGTTGGGGGTCGTCATTTTGTGTTTTTGCTTTCACTTTGCAGCGCCTCTCGTATGTGAGATTTCTTGAACAGGAGGCATCGATGCTGCAGTATCACTGCTTACATAGATGCGCTATACCCGCACTACCGATGGTCCCGTGGACTCGTATCATGATGACGTATGGTTGAAGTAGCTGAAGAGGACGTCATTAGGGTCTGCTGTTTGACTGCCAGGATTCCGAAGGTAATTGGATATTTCTATCAAAAGAATGCATTCGAAATGAAAGAGCAGTTGTTCAGCTTGCAATGTAGCAAAGATGTGGAGAGCTCTTCCCACTTCCAGGGCGCGTTGGCATCCGGGTTAGCGCGGCGCTAGTACACGCTCAGGGTGTCGCGTGCCTCCCGCAACCATCATCACCACGACGCACCACCAAACTGGATCTCTTGTGACACATGAACTCCTTCCTTCTCTTCTATGCTGCAGGTTCAAACAAAGAAGATAGCTCTCGATCGCCGATAATGTACCAGTACGCCGATGCATAGCCATGCCGTTCGTTTCGCGCGGTGGTCTGATTTTCTTTCGGCTTTAGTCCCATTTGGCCCAAAACAGCAACCATCATGCCACTTTTCAAGACAAAGTTCCAATTGGAGTGTAAGGTGGTATTGCATGTGACTTGATGCTGAGCGAATTTTGGGTCGTAAAGTGCAACTTGTACGCGCAGCTGGCGGTCTCCTTCCTTTTACCGCGTATTCCTCCCATTTCATACTCTTTGTTCTTTGCTCGACATTACTTCCGAGGCCTTCGCGATCGAGGAGTCCATCACCACCCGGGTCCACTGGCGCAGGAAGTGTACCACACAAATCAAACACCAAAGAACGTCTCCTCCTTACGATACCTATCCTGGGAATCTGCACCTCTACACATTAACAGACGCTCCTCTTTATTGAACCCTTCCATTAGAACAGTTCGACAAGCGCCGAGCTCAACCGGTTTCGCCATGATGATAACCCGCACCTTCTCGCTCACAAACTTCCTCATCGGATCTTCAGCGCTCTGCTTCCAAATCTTCGTGCTCTACCCATGGCATGAGAAGTTAGAAGAGGAGTTCGTGGAATTGAAGAAAGAGCACGCGAGGTTACTGGAGGAGACACACGAAAGGCACAGAGGAGAGTTGAGGGGGATCAGAGAACAATTGGAGTTGGCCAACGAGCGGAGGAAGACTGGGAAATTTTGGTAGAGTGGTAGGATCGGAGGAATTGATAGAAGGGAGAGTTTTGCTGAGGAAGGGGGAGGAGGAGCGGAAATGGAGAATGCAATGGGTTGTGGGATATCTAGACGGACGGGACATGTTACAAAGCTAAGCAAAAACATACGAACGATGTTGGAAGTAGCTGTACACAACACCTGTCCAAATCCCAACTCCATCCTGTTGTCGCTACTCGGAGGATGGCATCGGATTTGGATGGAAAACGGAGCAACGCGCGCCTAACGTGACTAGATATGCCCAATACTCTAGGATGGGGCACCACCATGCGAAACCCGTATGCGTATCTGAAAATAAACAGGCAGACGCAGCCAATAGTACATGTAGCGAACAACAAAGTTCACGAAAGCGAATGCATCTATCGAAAAACACCAACTCCGTTCCCTCCGCGAAAACCTTCCTTAGCCCATACAACAACTCAGAAAAGAAAAAAACTTCACACACAATAAACTACTCCATCACATCGATAACTCTACCCTTCCAATAGCACCAACGGCTTACCCTCCCTCCCTCCTGTCAAGTCTGTCAAACGCGGACCCAACTCCGCCACTCGGGGTCCATCCAATCCGTCCTAAACCCACCAAACCCACCAACCCAAAAACAGCCCTTCCGAGCGCCGATCTTAGGGGGGCAGCAAACCAGCGGACCAGCAAAACCCCTTACCCATCCTCCTTCTCCACAATGACGCCAGCAAGGCGCGGAAACAGTAATGCAGGTTATGGTGATCAGCACGGCGCCAAACAAACAAAGCGCGTGCAAAAGGGATCAACACGCATGCAGCGTGTGCCGAGCCGCGTGGGTTGACAACTGACGTTTGACGTGCCGCGTGCAGGTGATTAATGATTAATTGGCGGCAGGGCTGGCATGATGATGATGATGATGATTATGTGTGGTGCGGGACGGGTTGGCGTGGGATTGATTGCGAGACGCGCGTTTTGCGATTCAGACTGTACAATGAGGCGATTTTCACGTGCAGAGATACTGATACTGATAGGCAAAGGGGAGTTTCGTAGTCATTCGCATTTCAGTAGATAAATGTGAAAGGAGGCAGGCGCTAGGAGACGTAGAAAAGCCCGTGAAGAGTACAACATGCAGCATTGGAACGGGAAAATGGAATTAGTAGTAGGAAATGTAACGCCTTGGTATAGTAGTGTCGAAGAAAGCTCTCAATCCGAAGCCGTCATGTCTCGGAGAGTGATGAATGGTCCTCCTTAGCAGCAACTCGCAGCCTTTGTGTCCTGCTGCGGATCCGGCTGTCGCCCAGGCCTAGCAACACGCCGCCTGGCCCCTCGATTGTACCTGCGTGTGGCTCCCTCTCGCGCGAGAACAGATATCTCGCATGCTAAACCCCCCAAAATCCGTGCCCCATAAGGAATGTGACCGTGTTGCATGGCCGGCTGTGGCTGCGAGCAGCTGTCGAATCGCGGCTTCCCTGAACGAAAAAGATGAAAAGTGGTGTTTGCGACAATCCTCATGCTTTATGTCTGAATCTCCTTCTTCTCTGCACCCTTTGGCCGGAAGACGGCGTCTTGACCTGACATGCGACGTGCGAGTGCGCGGTCCAGCTTTGCTCCCAGCGCCAGCTTGCTCATGTCGTCTGTCTTGCGCTCGTTGAGGGCGTACCGTTGTTGGACCAGGCGCTTGTCTTCGAGGCGGTCAAATCCCGCGTTCCATGTCTTGATGTCGTGTGACTTGGGGTCGCCGGCTGTTGACGAGGCTTGCGACAGGTGCGAGGGCGCGATGGAGGGTGTGAGGGTGGGTGTGGCGCTGTAGGTGGACATGCGGGTGGATGCGCGGTTGGCGGCCGACTTCTTCTCGTTAGACTGTGACTGTGCTTGTTCCGACATGGTCGCCGAGGGGTGTGCGTGTTTGTGTTGGGGCGGGCGTGTTGGAGCGCAAAGGCAGGTGTTTGTGTGGTGAGTGTGAAGGGAGGGGAAGGCGCAAAGGAGTGAATGTCAAGCACGCAGTGCAGGTGCTCCTCGGCGAGCATCGACCACACGCAGGGGACGTCTGAAACGGGCAGTGGATACGGGAGAATGACTTACGTTGGCAAGCATGGGCCGCGAGGACTCAAGAGAGTTTGTCATGATGCGCGCCACGGCGAGTCCGGTGGTTAGTAGGTGGGCGGGGATAGCGTGCTGCTTGCTAGGTCGCCGGAAATTCAATCGTACGACGGCGATTGAAGGGTATAAGAGAGGGCGCACGCAAACAGAGCAGTCAGAGGCCGGTGTCCGTGCTGGGTCTGTAGAGAAAAGCGAGGAGATGGGTGTTGTAGTCGGTAGAAGTCCTGTGCTCAGCCTGCCTTACTCCTGCGCGTTTCAAAGGGCCCAGATCGGCAAGGGGCGTCGTGAGTAGCAAGATGCACGCGCAGGGGCACCACGGTTAGCGAGTCGCAACGGGCGGCGGTGATGTTTGGTAGGATTCTAAGACGTCAGCCTTGCAGACAAGCAGCGGCATGTGCGTGGTCAAGACGCGTAGCAGAAGGCCCGCCGCCGACGAACACGACGCGGTTATGTAGGCAGCGGCGGCTGTAAGCAAGGAAAGAGCGACCCCTCTACCACTACCACCACCGGCATCATGGCAACCACCAGACGGCTCTGAAACGGCCGCACGTAAGGATACTGCATCTAGGGATACTTGCATTTCGATAAAGTGCTGAGTGAGTTGCATGCAGTCAGCCTCCACTCAAGCCATTCACGCCGACCGCGACACCCGACCAATCCCCTTGACCACCGCCCACGCTTGCATCGCCTATGCCACGTTTTTCTGCGGGAACCCAGAACCCACGTTGGCCGCTACAGGGCCCCGTGTTGCTTAGGTTTAGCTTCGTCTCCACCGGTGCCCGCGCATTGCCGCTCCTGGTTTGGTCCTGCCATGAGCCATGCACTTGTTCCCTGACTGAAGAACTCCTTGCATTATCTATGAGACATCCATTCCTCGCGAAACGGGAGCAGTGAATATCGACAGTATCGCATCCCCAGTCATCCGTCAGCCCGAAGTCCTTGGGTTAATCAATGCAGCGTCGGCTTCTTTGAAGTGACTGCAGCTGATCCCTCGCACTAGTTAACCAGCTCGCCCAGGCGTTTGGGCACCAGAGGACGCTGCAGTCTGGCAATGAGCAGCTAAACGTCAAGGCACAGAGTGCCGCCCCCTTTCCATTCCAGTTAATCTCGACCACCGCATCTGGCATTTGGCGAGCGCATGTGAAGAAATGCACGTCAAAATGATCTTGCAGATGCGTCGCCGATAAGGTTTGCCCACCCACCAGTAGCCAAAGCGACCCCAAGCTTCAACCCCGTCCCCCATTGCCCACCAACCCATACGCCTTCCAACCACATCCTCACATGCGCAATCGCCTGCCCAACCCCACATGCTCCCCAAAGCGGCAGCACGACAGAACCTTTCATCCAACGTCCGAGCGCCTGCATGAAAATGCATGCTCACCACGTGGCCGCAACGTGGTTTCCGTGGACGCACGGCCCGCCGCTGTCTGACAATTGCGGGTTCCTGGCACATGGTATCGCGGTGGAGCCAGCGCGAAGGTCGGGCTGCATCGGAGCACCATCCTGGTGGTGAAACCGCTGAGCTATGCATATCACTGAACGGTGTCGCGCGCATGATCTAGTGCGTAAGCTGTGTCTATATCTGAGGCTCACGATGGAGGAGGCGAGCACTGCATGGTATGTATGTCTGGATGGGCTGGAATGTGGCGTTTGAGGGTCTGGATGAGAGAAAAAGCATGTACGATGGCTTGCGGGTTCGCTTGCCGAAAAGTCTAGACTGTGATGCGGGACAGTCTTCATCAACATCGTTTCTAGAGACAAAGACATCTCCGAGGACATGGCACACGTGACGAAAAGGCGCGACTCAGAAACGACTGAATTTGTGTAGATACGAAGTCCGAAGATGAAGTAGATCACAATTTGGTATCGCCGAAAGTACGAGCCTTGACTCGTGCTGCTCCTTACCGCTCATCTACATCGCCATACCGGGCATATGGTCAAGCCCTGATAAGGGTTGTCAGCACGAAAACGTCACAGCGTGACTGAAAGAACAACTTACAGCCATCGATATTCTCCTTGATAGCGCTCTTAACTTGGCATTGGTTCATGGCCTGAACATTCTGACTCTACAACTCCTTGTTAGCAGCCACAACATGCTTCATGAACCCACACTGCATCACATACCTTCAAAGGTCTTCCATTCTCGCAAGCTTGAAACATGCAGTTGTTGTCCATCGCCTTCTGTAGACTGTCGTCTTTCCAACCAAAGAGGTAATCCGCATGGGTACCATAGCCCTTGTTGTCGTTGTAAGAAAGGAAGAAGGGGTTGGAGCCATCCTTGGGCCACATGTTGCTGAACTGGGTAGTATCCCAGAGTGTCTCATAGGCAACCTGTGGCATGCGCACTGGATGTGAAGACGGACATGCGCCGGCAACCGCGAATGCTTCCTTGGCTGTGTTGTACATGTGATCCTGGTGGTTGGGCGAGTCGACGTTCTTGCCGTCCCAGCAACTGAGTGTTAATATCCATGTCAGTACCCTCTCACTTGAACTGTTCACGAGGCAGACACTTACGAGGGGAAGTGGTGCACAGTCATGATGCCACCTTTGCAGGCCTTGGGTGGGAAGTCTGGGCTCTCGGGGAAGCGGGTGTTCTTGTCTTGCAGACACACGAAGCGAAGACCTGGGTGTTTCTTCGCGTCTTCTACCGTGTTGGTTGTAGGCGAACCTACAGTCATTCGGAAGCCCTGAGTGGGTTAGTAGTGTGTTACATGTGCCGCAGTATGACTAACCTTGGGAAAAGCAGTAATCTTCTGGTTACCATTCCCGTTGAAGTCTTGCTGTGTGTAGTAGATGGCTGCGAAGAGGTAGACAACCAGTCAGTGTATGTCTCGCCTGCGTGTAGTAAGTTAGAACTCACTCATGCCACCGTTGATTCCGTTCGGCAAGGCGCTGTTCTGCATGATAGGCACTCGCTTGTACGAGCCGTTGGTGTGTTTGAAGAACATCGCGGCGGTCCAGTAATTGCTATATCTATCAGCCTCGGTTGAAAGACATGAACAGTCTGCCAAACCTGAAGTCCTCTGAGAACGTGCACGTTGTGCAGGTAGCCAAGGTAGATGGGTCTTCCTGCATAGTCGCATTGAATGCATTGCCACCAACAATTTGATGAACATGAGCTGAAGGAAGTTTACCTGGCTCAACGAGCGGGTCAAGCCGTTGGATGCTCAAGGTTGAGCATCCGAAGCGTAGTGCGGCCTGAGTAGGCACTGCGAGAGCGGCGATCTGGTACCACTTCATCGTCGTGTATCTTTGTATGGTTCTTGTAGGTGTGTTGTTGCTGGAAGATGCGTGAAGGACCGCCCACGATCTTAAGCTGGGGGATTGTCAATAGTTTCGACTCTCGGTATCTTGGTGTCAACCCTGCTCCATTGCATCGATGGTATCTGGTGTGGAAATGCTCTATCCGTTGATTAAAGACATCTGCATGCGACCAATAACGGCTATGACTTTGAGAAATCCCCGCGTTAATGTTCAAGACCTAGTCATAGTGCTATACCATTGCAATCAATTCCAGATTTCGGCACTTGTTTCCCGCGTAAACCTCCGAGAGGCACGGCACTTCACGTTTGGAACGGATAGGGAGATTGTCCTCATTCGCATTGTAGAGAGGTGAGATTCGCGCACAATGTCGTCAATGAGCGTACGTCTAGATAGACGGAGGAGGAAGACATGTGTAACAATACCGCGCGCACCGACAATCGCTCTCTTCGAGTGCCCTCAATAGCTACTCTAGCTTCCTGCTACGCAGATTCGCGCGTGACAAGTCATGAAGAGCTGGAGTCGCAGAGGTGCTATACGGCAGATTTCACCCCCGGATTAGTAGCCTTGGTACCTCAAATAGAGACTTCTCCCGCCGATCACCCGAGCATTGTAGGAGCTTCCATGGGATTATGAGCATCCAGTTTCTACGGTTCGTGGCACCCTGCCAAGATCGGTGTCATGTCAGCGAGACTGTAGAGGCCGTTGGATATCCATGCAAGGAACTGATTGGTAGTGGCTGCCATGGTACGGGTGTCGCGTATAGTGCTAACCCAGCGAGGATTGACGAGCAGTGCGGTAACGCCATTCTGAGAAGCTGTCAAAGGAGATGAGTGACAGGAGGAGCGAACCGGAAGAAGACGACGTCATGTGTGCCATGATCGCGGGTAGCGTCGGTGCGCTCGAAATCTGATTGTAGCCCAGATGGATGCATGCGCAGACCAAACCCCGAAAACAGTGCCTCCCTCAGACCAAAGTCATCAACAGAACCACGCCGCCATGCCCCAACTTCAAACCTCAGGCCATGTCCCCACATCTCGCGCTCCGCAGTCCAGAACACCGGGGCACGCTTGACGTAACCGGCGACGTTGAAAAGGGTGCAGGTGCGCGCGCTACCATGTTCCGAAAGCTTATTGTGTGCCTGACAAGGAGGGGTAAAATTGGGCGAACGACGTTCGCTACAATCCATGGCTTGGCGTGCACGACTGCCTATCACGGACAGCGCACGTCGCCTGGTATGGGATACACACCTTATCGCAGTTTTGGGAACGGGGTGACATGAGATGGAAGGGACGTGCGTGGGAGTGAGGTATTAGGGTCTGTCGTCACTCTTACGGTCTTTCCCGGTAGTCAGACAACTGGTGACTGGTGAAGGTGCCCTTTGATCAACCTGCATACATGCTGATCCGGCTGCTAGACACCCGTATACTTTGTGAAGGGAGAGCGTGGAGCGATGCAGCGCAACGCCATATACACAGCAGTCAAAAGAATGCGCTTTTCGACACAGACGAGACCCGACGATGATTCATGTGTCTCATCCCCAGAAGACAGTATTCACCTTGTCGCTACTACCACTTCCTTCCATGCAACTCAAACACCATTGCTCCAAATATGCGAAGATGATAGAATAACGTCAGAAACACTAGACACCACCTGAACTGTCTCATGAACCCAAGCAAACAAAGTCATGCCTTCATGCTTTATCACAAGATCTCCATCACGCTCATATATATCTCGTTCTTCTGACTATCATCATCAGTAAGGTATCACTCCCATCAGTTCCCGTCCGGTCTATAAGAAAAGGCCGCCAGCGCCCTCATCGAAACCCACTATCGCAACCCACTCTCCTCCGAGACAATGGCGACTTCATTCAAGCAACAAGTTTCCCATCAAAAGAAGCCAAAAGCATCTACCAATGCCAGCACGCGTAAGCTACGTAGCACGCTGAAGCCTGTATACGAACACAACCATTCCATACAGGAGCCATCCGGCAAGCCTGGAAGAAACGAAGATCCTCTTTCTCACCCCACCGCACCCAAGCAAGACCTTCACCCCACTCAGTCTCCCCGTAACGGCGTTCGCGGAGGCATACTTCCGTCCAACCTCAACCACATCAACCATCGCCGTCACGTCCACTTCGAAAAGACCGATAACGGCTATCCCCTCCGAAAAGGCTACAGCGCCGCAGACCCGCGCCGCAAATGGGGAAAGGCCAAGAAGCCCGCTGTCAAACCAGATGTTGTACGTCCATATAAGAAGACTGCCCCTTTGCGGCTGCAGAAGTGCTTTAGTAAGAGCTACGAATGCTGTCAATGCAACAATGGCACGGTGATCAAGCGAACGGCACACAATCCTGATCGGGCCTACCAATGTGAAGCTAGACGTGCGGTTGGACAATGTGGTCATAGATGGTGTCCGAAGTGTCCTGTTATTCGGGAGGAGTGGGTGGAGGATGTGCTTGAGAAGGGGGACAAGGGTGGGAAAAGGAGCCATGATCGGGTCCAAGTACGTGATGCCCGCAGCTACTGAGTGAAGTGCTCGGAGGAAGATGGTTATCAGATCATGTAAACGAAACTCCAAAGTAATGAACTTAGGTAACCGATAGTTTTCATAGAATACATACTCCACAACACCCAGTTCCACATCCAGACCTACCCCACCACCCCAGCAAAGTCCACAAGCTCAACAAGCACATTACACACGCCATCAGCCCAAACAGCAAACGCCTTCTCCCTCAGCACACTATACCAATCATCCGCATTGCGAATATCGCGCCATCCCTGCGGACCAATAGACTTGATAGCGTAACGGGGAAGACCCTTGGTTTCCGCATGACTGTCGACAGGAAAGACGGGGTGAGTGCCCACTGCCGAAGTGGGTGTGGGAAGGATAGCGGCGTTGTCATCTTCGGATGATTGAGGGAGACTGTTGGGTGGAAACGATGTTCCGTGGAGAGCATGCTCCGTTTGCAGTGCATTGGCGGCAGCAGCGAGCCCACGAAGATTGTCTGTGCCGGGTTCAACGTCTCGAAATCCGACAGCAGCGCTGAGTTCGGGGTATCTGTCCTTGGCGGCTTTGAGGAGGAGGATGACCTCTCTCATGAAGTCGTTGTAGTCGTACCATGCCAGGTGTGCTTGTGGCTCGGCTGTGATGCGCTTCTCGTCCAGCTTGATGCCAGGTCTGCCGCTCGATGAGGCAAGTACGAGGAAGATGTTGATGTGCGAGAGATTGGGTTGGGTAGGGCTGGTCGTGGGTAACTGTTTGATGGGTTAGCAGCGTCAATCATACTAAGAGCATGAAGGAATCGACCCTACCTTCAAACTCGGCTGTGTGGTTGCGTTGGACTCTACCGCTTCTCTGGAATCCGACTTTTCATCCCTGCCTTGGAAGGAAACCTGCGGCGTCACGGTTGTGAGTCGTGTCGATGAAGCTGTCTGCTGTGACGGCGTCGGATGTTGTTCCAAACTGTGATCGAAAAGCGGCTGTGGATGCTGCTCGACTCCACGTCCTGCATCATCATCGCCTTGCTGGAGCACAGCTTCGGCACTACCTTCTTTGTCTTTCTTCTTCGCGCCGCCCTTCCTAGTCTCGATCGCATACTGTCGCTGCCGCTCGTTCGTGACCATTCGTCGCATCAACGGAGTAACGAGGCTAATAATCTTGTTCCCGTCCCTTGGCCATGTCAGTCTTTCTCCAGCATCAGGACTCTTGTCTTCTCCTAGTGCGCGTGCAGCTTCAATCGCGTCCTTCTCGCCCGGCTTCTCCACATCTTCGCCAAAGAATTGCTCGCCAACGCCTTCGTTCAGGAAGTCCCGGACGCAGTTGAAGAGCCGCAACTTGACCATGTCGGTATCACCTTTACCACGGTTTCCAACGCAGCTCTGCCGCTCAGGATGTGATGTGTCGAGCATGTAGCCTTTTGCTAAAGCCTGTAGTTGAAGGAAGTTCTCTGGGCTTAGCTGGAGGGACATGAACAGCTTCGACATTGGCGGTCGTGTGTACTTGCGAGACGTTCTTTCGGAGGAGCGGCGGAAGAGAGCGGCGGCTGAGTGTACACCTGCAGCACGGGCATCGTTCAATAGAGACTCACTGGAAGGCGGTACAGTGTCGTCGACAGAGACCCCATGCATGTTATGGCCATGGTCCTGAAGCCGAGGATCGGTAGATCCGCCAGTTTTACGTCGCTTAGAGTTGACAAGCCTATCGGCATGATGCGATGCGTCCTCGGCCGGGGAGCTGGTACCTCTTCTTCTCTTGCCTCTATCCTGTAGTGGGATGGTCACCGTCCCAGTATCTCCAGTATCCATCGCATATGCCACCTGACCTGCAGCTGTCGCAGCCTCCAGCAACTCAACAAGGTTATGGTTCTCCTCCAGTGTGTGATCGTCTGACGCCTGACGGGCAGAGTGTTCGGCGTACAGGTGTGGGTTGAGATGATGTTGGGGCGGCGATGCGAGGGGAGCGGGACCAGACAAGTCATATTCATCGTCGTCGGACACGAATGGGGGCGGTGCACCGTTTGTACTGTTGGGCGTGGTGACGAACTGGCCGGGGCGCATCTGGTAGTATGGCGCGTCGACGTTTGCCCGCATCGTGGTTCGTATCCCCCGAGATCAGACGGGCCAGACGGTAGGAGCCAAACAGGGCTGGGAGGGATCGGTCGTATGAGCTGTCAATGCACAGATGGTAAGTCTTGGGGTCAAATGTTGAGATGGAGACAGCAACTGAATTCATGCAACTTGGACTGCGAGTGGAAAGCGACTCGATACGTCTACAGGGCGAGCGCGACACCGAATCTCTTTTGTATGCAAGCGCCCATGAGGTTTGGTTTGACACCGAAGCAGCGACATGTTTTGGTTTGAGCGCAAGAGAGCAGCATTTGCGGTTCGATGGAGAGGGCAAAGCATGGTTTGACCCGACAAGAGGAGAGGGTGGAGTGCAGTTTGATCCGTCTCGGCGACGTAAGCTGGCATCGAGGTGCGGAGATTAGGATCGTGGTTTGGTTTGACGCGAGATGGTAGGAATCAGATCAGCAGACACACCTGATTGCTGTCGTGTGAGAACGACAAGCGGGCGGGCCAGCGGGCCAAATCAACTCGGGATGGGGTTGAGTTTGCTTTGTTTGCACGATGACGCGCGCGCATGTGACTGAGCTCGGACGATTAGATAAGCCACCTTCTCAACGCGCCCATCTGAACATTGAGGAAAGAGGGCGACCTTAACTCTTCGCATAATGAAATGGTAACATTGAAGGACTTGAGTATGCTGTGAACGTAGTATATGATATTTGATCCACCTTCTTACAACAGTATCCCACCCCTAGATAGCATGCTAGAACGCCCTTCTAAGACCATAGAAATCAACGCCATACAGCACGACAAGATACGCCGGCTTAAAACCCAGGGTATCAAGAAGAATATCTAAAAACCATCCCCTTCATGCCACTCCCTCCCCAGCTCCTCAGCTCTCATCCTCGGATCCTGCCCCCTCACCTCAGCATCATGTTTCAAGCCGTCGACAATGGGTCTCAGCCGATCGATCTCCCGCCTATATTCCGCGTCCTTCCCTACCTCTGGTATTTCCAGATCTTGCAGCTTTGTCTGATCACCATCTCGAGCTGCTTCTTCTATCGCCTTTCGCATCTCTTCCCACTTCCTAAGATCCCCTTCCCGGTCTCCGAGTTCGTTCTTGAGCGCAATGAAGTTCGCGTATTGCTCTTCGCCGCCGAAACAAGAGCCGTACTGGTCGCAGAAACAGATGTGTTCCTTGGGGCAGACGACGTTCTGGCCAGTGAAGACGAATTGCCATACGTACTCCCAGATGCGTCCGCTGAGACGGTCTTCCAGACGTGTGTTGAATAGCCAGTCTCTGTACCAGACGTATTGCGCGTAGGGCTTTGCTTGTATGCGTTCTCGTGAGAGGGCGAATTGTGCGCAGCAAGGTTGTGCGAGAACGGTGGGTACTTCGTCGAGGGGGAAGAGCTCGCTCCACGACTTAGCTAGGAGGACCTCTTCCTGCTTCTGGGGGTCCAGCTCGGTTGCTGCCGGGTGCATCCAATCGGGACAGCCGGGATGCCAGCTGCACCTCATGTTCACGAAGCCTTCTCTCCAAACGCGGGCTCGGTTGAGTCGGCTTATAAGCAGATGCGCGTTGTTGCCGAGGATCTCGTCGTTGTGCCAGGACAACTGGTGCGCGTGCATGAAGATGGCGACATCGGGGAGGTTGTCGTAGTTGTCAATGATCCATGAGAGATATATCATGACCTCGTGGCCTTTGTTCTTGGGTGGATGTAGCGGTGCGGAGGGGTCGTCGGCTACGTAGACGGCTGTCTGCTGCTCCGGCATCTTGTCTAGGATCCAGTCAACACTCTCATGCTTCGTCTTGGCAATCACCAGTGTCGAGGTATAGTTGTGTTCTGCAGGCATTGATGAGCCTGGCTTGAATATGGGGGTCGGGTTCCAGTTCGCATAATCTGGGTCTTTGATCGCATCTTTCGAGGGCTCGACGTCGCCGGTACTCAGAGGTGGCCGCTCGTCACTGCCAATGTGGTCTCCTAGACCGACATGTTGTGGTAGACCCCGCCATGCCTGGCTGGAGTCTATGTCAGAATAGAAGAATGCGACTACGAATAGTGTGAGGATTAGCGCGAGGACTGGTATGACGTTTCGTCGGGTCATCCTGCGTGAGTTGAAAGCGAACGACTGGCAGGGGGCGAAAGGCGTGGATCGCCAAGGTCAGCGTGAGGTCCGGATGGTCTTATACTGTCGCATTGTTAGCCGGGCATACTTGGGATCGGACTTGTCAAGCTCACGGTGCTGGTGGAGTCGCCGCGCGGCAGCTGGGGTTGGTCGAAGGAAAGCTCCGCAGTGACGAACGTGGAACGACGAATGAATGACATAGGCCACCGGAGCGCGTATGAGCAAAGAGGCGTGGCATCGCGAAAAGACCAGATATACAAGACCATGGACTTTAACGCTACACCCAAGTCACAGCGCACAAGACACAGGCGTTGCACCTGTGGCCCGCTACGGACGCCGCAGCGATGGCGACGGATGACTTTGGGCTGAGGTTCGGTCGTGCTAGAAGCCAGAGACGGCCCGCTACCTGCTGCAGGCTGCATCCAACCCTGCATCGGCCTTTCAGTCGGGGCACCCCGCGGCTCCACGCCTGCCGTGGATCTCCAAGAACAGCTTAATTCTTTAGCCAGGCACAAGCGTCGAAGTGTATCTCACTTTGGCATTCTGCATGATCAAAGATGGACTTGGCATGATTGGCATTCTACATGGCTCTACGGAAACTGCAAATGTTGCAGGGGCTGAGGAGAATTAGCCGCGCATTAGGTTTGACGTTGGCTATCTGATTCATCAAGCGACTGTGGACGCCTCAAAGTCCTATAGTGGTGATAACATGTGTGCGACAGAGATGACTAAATCTCTTTGGTCGCGGGAGCATGAAGTGTGATGTTGCGGCGTAGCCGTTGCGCAACGTCTTGCACTGTGTGCTTATTGCAGCACACACATCTACAAGTTGGTGACGATGCCAACATTCCGCTCTACTGTCGCCAAGATCAAGTAAGTGTCGCGTTCACCAGTTTACCTTGTTTTGCAGTCGATGTTTGCATGACTCCGACTCAGCTTATGAGTGGCATGGTGAGGAAAGCACGAGTGACGAAAAAGGAAGTGACACAAACGAGATTGGAGGGCACGCACCTTCGAATGTACCCCCGGAGCATAGACTTGCACACACCGCCTCGTTTGCATGGAGCAATCGCGACGCGTCTGCAAGCTATCATCACGGGCTCTGGCGTCGACTTTGGACCTCAGGCAAGGTGCCCAACTATGCTGTTCGAGTTGCGCGACACCGACACGCAACTGGAATGCTGTGTGGATACATCTCAAGCATCCGTTACGTATCGGAGCGAGTTTACATTGCGAGATGCTGTGATGGTCGGGGGTCGAGCCGGGCAAGCCCATTAATGTTACTGGGTCGGGGCTGCGTTGACATGGATGCGGTCATGGTGGATGATAGGAAGAGTATTTAGACAGTGCTGGTCATGCGGAAGGTGGTGTGGACGGGTTACTGGACGTCCAGGTTGCATCGTGAGGCAGTAGATAGAAGTACAATTTGGTGTCGATCAAGATGACTGGTGCTCCCAAGGGCTATAGACGTTGCCCCGAAAGCATTTACCGAAGTGCTGAACCGTTTCTCCAAGGAAATACCGAGCCGACGAAGGGCTAAGACGATGTCGAGCTGCAAGACGCCAGATCATGGTTTGATCCCACCTTGCTACGATCCATATCGAAGAACTTTTGTCGACCACATTTCCTTTGTGTGCGTGTGAAAGCCGTATTAAACTGAACCCAGTGAAGTAGCCATGGGATTACAGGAATGAAGTGCTGAGAGAGGCGACAAACCGAGGAAGCCATACGAACCCTAACTTAGTACCGCTTGGGTTCTGCCTGTGTCAGCTGAGAGCTAGCGGTATGAGCGATCGTAATCACCCTCGTACGAGCGTCCTCCACCGCCGTACGCCTCGCGCGGAGGAGGGGCGTCGTAGGCGCCAGCAGCTGGGGGAGGGGGCCTGTCGTAGTAGCCACCTCCACCACCCCGGCGGTCATCGCGTCCGCCATCGCGTCCTCCATCGCGGCCACCGTCCCTGCCACCGTAGCTGCGGTCAGAAGCATAGCGGTCGACGCCACGAGGACCGTAGTCGTCGCGACGGCCGCCACCGTAGCCGCGATCGTCGTATCTTGAGCTGCGGGAACCGTAGTCGTCGCGTCGGCCGTAACCGCCGCGGCGGTCATCAGTGTAGCGATCGTTGTAGCGAGGGCCACCGCCCCGGCCGCCACGTCCACCGAACTCTGAAATGTAATTAGCACGACATGTACGCTGCAGACAGCGAGCAGACTTACCACGCTTGGGCGGTCCGTAGTACTTGCCCGGGGTGGGAGTACGAGGACGCGCACGGCGAGCCTTCTCAATGCTGAGTGTCCGGCCCTGGTGAACCTCTCCTTGTAGACCCTCCTTTGCTGCGTCAGCCTGCTCGGAGGTGACCATCTTGACGAAGCCAAAGCCGCGAGACTCCTTAGTGTGAGGATCGCGCATGATGTTACACTGCTCTACCTCGCCATACTTCTCGAAGAGACGGGTGACCTCCTCTTCGCTGAGAGTAGGATGGATGCCGGTGACGAAGAGGTTGGAGCCTGAGTTGCGGCTCTCATCGTCATCGTCCCTGCGCTCTGGCGGCGGGCCACTGGGCATTCGTTAGCGACAATTCCATCTAGATGAGCAAGCAAGCAGATACATACCGGCTGTCGCGGCCGCCAGGTGAGGCACTGCGGGCGCGCGCGCCATCGTCGCGACGGTCACCACGCGGAGACCTGCTGCGGTCGCGTTCATAGCCGCGAGGCTCGTCTGCAAACCAGTCAGTAAGGGCGCTGGCATCACACAGGGCGGGAGACAAACCATCGTAGCCGCGCTGTTCGTTTTCGTACTCCATGGTGATGATGTTGTGGTGGGTCGGGGGAGTTGGTAGTTGGTTGGTTGAGGAGAGGTGTTTGCTGAAGCTGCGAGTTTGGCCAGTTTTTTGGCAGGGCTGATCGACGGTAGCCGCGTCCCTGTTTAGTAAGCGTCGCGCTAAGACAGCTGCGCTGCAAGTGAGTGGAGTAAAAGTGGAAAAGGTGATGAGAGAGCGGAGGCCAGATGCTATTTGTAGCTAAATGCGATGTTCGCTCTGTCAAAGGACTGTCCTGACTGTCCTGACGGCAGCTGCGCAGGCTCGAGTGAGGCAACTGCTAGGGGCCGGAGCAGCGCCCTGGTCGCCCTGTCTAAGCCGTCAACGTCAACGTGCGTCAATATTACTAGTGCACCGCCGTTTCTTTAGGAGTGAGGCTCTGCGCTCCCGCAGAGGACCTTCACGAACGGAGTGAAACATTCGGTCAAGTGAGAATCGATGATGCGCATTACCACCAAGTATATTCATAATCAAGCCAATCGCAATGGGCGCTTCGTTGACCGAACCCCGCTAGACGCCATGCAGAGTCGACCAGCCTTCCTCCAATTACTCCTGCCAGAATGCTCTGCCGAAACAATACATCGAAGTGCGGTATCATGTGCCAACTCCGAATGTGAACGCCTTGCGCCAGTAGCACCTCATCTACCCATCAAGGTAGCTATGCTGCAAATGCCAATGATAATACAAGACATGGCTCAGGGAGCGCATGCCAAAGAAAAGGATAAAACAAACGTGAACCCAATCATCTACCATCCCCTCGATCTCTTCTGCCTCTTGCGTGCCACCGCTTTCTTGATTGCGGCGACATTCGACTCGGGCGTGTCTGTGGGCCGAACTGGATCAGAGTCGGCCAGGCCGTCGAGTTCGTCGTCGTCTAGCTCGCTAAGCTCCTCGCTCATGTCTCGGAGTACCTCACGACCGGTGTACCGTTCTTCGTATACGGTTGTGCCATGTACATCGAAGTGCTCAAAGTACCAGGGAACACCGCCATTGCCCAGAGGGTTGAGTAAGTTCTTCTCGGATCTTGGGGGCGTGAGAGGCTCGGGTCGGCCATTGGTCTCCACACGGGCTTCCACCACTGCGTTCTCGGGCTGGTTGCTGGACACGCGAAGAGCATCTTGGCCAAGTTGAATGGCGATGGCCGCCTCGTCTGCCGCCTCGTCATGTGCATGGTGTGTGTGATGTGCGTCTGCGGCGTTCTCGTCCGGTGTGGGCGCAAGCTGCATCTCCTCTGGTTTCTGAGTGAGCACAGCAGCTTCTTCGCCATCAACTGCAATTTCCTGAGCTTCCTCAACAGTTGTCGGGTCGCTTTCCGTCGTTTGTCGCACAGTCTCGTCGTGAGACAGGACGCTCGGCCTGCGTTGCAGCTTCTGGTTGAGGAGTGTCTCCAGGTCCGGTAGTTTTTCGTAAGGCCGACCAGCCAGCTCAGACTCCTTGCGGATCGCGTCTTCAAAGTAAGGTTGTAGGCTTTTCGTGATTCGCTTAACGACCTTCTTCAATTCCTTCTGCTCAGAGCTCAGACTGCTGTGCGCACTCCTGTTCAGCTGATCTTCAGCATCGCCAACGTTGGGGACAGCGGCAGATCCAAGCTCAGCACTCAAGACCGCGGCCACATCGTCGTTGAATGTCTGCACCGAAGTATAGTATTTCTCATCAAGCTTGGTCTGCAGCTTGTTGAATCCGTCGCTGAAGTAGCCTCTGCTATCAAGTCTAACGCGAAGTTAGTAGGGATTCAAGATCTAGAGGTGGATTGCTTACGTTTGTGCTCGGACCAGGATAGGCTGCAGTAGCTGAGGTATTGGGAAGTAGATGCAATCGACGATCTGCTGCAGTATCAAGACGTCCTTGAGCTTCTCAGCTTCTCGCTGTTTGACCATCTCGCAGAGGACACGTATCTGCTCCATGTCATCTTCGAGACGTTCTGCAAACTCAATGCGTCGTTGGAGTCGGGGTCTGCCAGCTGCTCCCATGCCTGCAAAGTTGCGGCGAGTGATCTCCATAGAAGAGAAAGCCTCCATTTGAAGCTGGAGACGCTTGAGAAGGGCCGCACCTCGTCGTGCCTCGCGCTTGAGCGTCCAGTACTTGCAGGCTTCTTGCACAAATTCCTTACGCTTTCGTACATTAAACTTGATCAGCGTGTTTTCAACGTTGTGGTAGACAGCCTGGGGCACAACCGGAGCTCCAGATGGCAGTCTCCAAGACTTGGTAGATTGTCCACGTTTTCGCTTGTTGGATCCAGGGGTGTCATCATCCGGTCCTTCGATGGAAGGCATCGCGTGCGAAGATCCAATAGAAAGCGCGTAGGCTTGGCTGTCCGGCCAGCGAATGTGACGCATGGTGTGACGGTAGAAGGCCTTCGCATCTGCGATTGCACTCTCCACATCAAATTCACGCTTCCAGTCGGACGGAGTGTGTCGATCGCAATAGGCCTTGAGCACAGTCGTATCTTGCGGGTTCGACGATTGCGAGGACTTCATGCGCAGGCATAGTCTAGCCCTCCGTGCACATGTGACGTGGAAAGCTTCGAAACAGGACTTGTGGCCGCATTGTATACAGGCCCCCATCTTCTGTTTGCAGATATAGCAAGACTATTAGGCGATTAGTGCGCTACTCGAACAATGAGGAATCTTGATCACTTACCAGTTTCCACCTAGTCTTGGGTACTTTCTCAACGTCTTGCACTGGCTCTTGAAATGTCGCATTGCCCAGTGATACCTCTGGTATCCACATGGCGCACAGCAGATGTGCCCACTTCATTGTGGTTGTCTGTTTGAATGCACCGTCTATATTCGGACAGAATATGCAACCCTGTGAGTGTCAGCATGCATTTGGTAAAGCAGCAAGGAACAGGTCATACCGGAAGCTCGCTGACAGGGGTGCCGCGCCCGACCAGTTGACACCGTCTGCACAGCCATTGTCCCTCTGGGATGAAAGGCACGCCATAACACTCCTGGTGGACGGCTAAGTCGCAACCATCGCAGAATACTATTGCATTTGTGTTCTCGCAGTCGCCGTCGTCGCAGATGGCGCACTTCGTATCTTGCTCTTCGCCTTGGCCAGCAGGCTCTCCGTTGACAGCAGCTGCACTGCTCGAGCGTGGGCGATGTGTCTGAGGTGGCTTCGGGTTGGGTTTGGGTATGCCTTTCACATGTCAGCCATTACGTTCGCTTCGTTTTCGCACCACAAAACTTACGCTTTTCCAGCGCGTGCCACTCCTTCTCGATCTGGGTGATGGTTACTTCGAATATCGCAGGCTTGATACCTTCGACACCCTCTTCTTTTCGCTGCACATTGAGTGCTTCCAGCCACCGGTCGTCTTGCTCATCCATGTCGTACTCGACGCGACCTACAGCAACTGCGCCTGCGGTACCTTCGGCCTCTGTCTGCAGAGTAAGATCCAGATCTTCTTCGATAGAGCCTTCTGGTAGTCTAATGAGGCTATTTTCCGATGGCCTTGTGAAGATCTCGCTCTCTTGGTATCCGATGTTCGCCATGGTCTTGTCGACATAGTTGACCTTGACGCCCTCGCTTTCTTCGTGTTCTTTGAACGGGTCGACTTGACGCACTGATGGCTTGGGCAGATTCAGCTTTTCCCTCGGATTCATAGTCGGAAGGGGGTTGACTCGTGGTCGAGGCGGCGATCCGAGCCCAGCTAGCATAGAGTCTCGGTTGCGAGGCGGTCGACCTGGGCGTCGCTTTGGTGTGACGAAGGCGCCTGAGCCGTTGACGGCTAAGCTTGCGTCCTCCTGCTCTTGCGCGACATCCTCTGCTTGTTGCGTCCGTAGGCCGTCAAGAACCGCGGAGAGACCGCTGTCGACGGCGTACTGGCCCGTCGATGAGCCATTGAGCGGAGTCCCCGGGGCGCTGTCTGCAGGGCTGATGCCATCTATCTGGTCTGCGCTGAAGACGGGGAACTCGGCGTCGATGTCCAGTTCCGGATGAAATTCGTCCCAGCTCCGCTCCTCGCGCGGCTTGTATCCATCGTTTTGAGCCACGGCGGCGGCGACTGCGGCGGCCGAACTGGAACGCGGTCCAGCTGGCGGCCTTTCGCGTCGGGGTCTGGTGTATGAGGGTGAAGGCGCTGATATGGGCAGGCCCTGCCGCTCGGCGTTGATGCGTCCTACACGGCCACGGGGACCAGTATACGCGTATCCTCCAGGTCCAGTTCCTCCTACGGGCGTCTCCAGCCCCTCGTCATCCACGTATCGTCCCCCGCCTCCTGGTCCGCCTGGAACGTACTTGCGCCGCTTGCTGGCTGGCGCTGAGTCAGATATGTGTCGCCGGGGCGGTCGTGTGCTTCTCACGCGTGGTAGTGGTGTGTCAGGAACAGGCGCCATGTAGAAAGTGCGGATGTGTCCAGAGACCCGCAAGGGTGAGGTTGGGCGATCGCGAAATGACGCGCCGGCGCCGGTCCTGTCAGGTGCAAGCTACGGCAAGCGCGTATTCACCCGGCAAATCGAGTGCACCGTGTTCATCGATTCGGGAGCCTGCGGTGGGCGATGGGTGGAGGGGCGTTGGCTGCGAGACAGGCGCGATACCGTGATGCGCCTGCTTGGAGGTGCGAGCTGGGGTCGATCAATGCGGCTAGTGTGCCAAGAAACATGTGGGCTACCTAGGCAGTTCGTCGCAGCTCCCGTTCACTGCACCCTACCGCGTCGTTTTAAGGCCGATCCGTCACTACCAAGCTCGGCAATCCAGTCGTCTCTGCCGACGTTAGTGACTATCTCAACAGGTGTTTCCTGAGTTCGATTTGCCCTCACGTGCTACCGGAGTTCTTCCCATTTCACTCAGCCATCTAGAAGGTTTACTGAGCCGCCTTCTGCACAAGGAAATGTAAACCGATTCACACACATCACTAGATTAGGTTCGCATTCAACTTCAATTCATGAGTCGCGCAGCCGGGAACATCTGAGTTCCACACGACATCTTGTGTCGGGCCAGGGCTGCAGATCCCACTACCCCAGGTTTTCGACGTCACAAGCGAG